AAAGTTTGATTCTGGTTGCTAACAGCTGATGAAGATGAAGGTAAAGTTTGATTCTGGTTGCTAACAGCTGATGAAGATGAAGGTAAAGTTTGATTCTGGTTGCTAACAGCTGATGAAGATGAGGAAGAATTAAACAGGAAAGCGAAGCCTTGGCTGAATGTTGGTGGATGTTGTGTTGATTCCTGGGTTTCTCCTCAGATGGATCCGGCTCTGGAGCTCTACAGGAAGGAGCTGGTGGTGGAGTGCGGCCGGAAGCTGGACAAGGCCAGGATGATCCGCTTTGAGGAGCGCACCGGCTACTTCGCCTCCACGGACCTGGGCAGGACCGCCAGCCACTTCTACATCAGATACAACACCATAGAGGTAGATGTATTAGATAGAGGAAGTCCTTATGCACCAGGCTGGAGTCTCAGAGGTGTTTGTGTTTTACTGGTTCTTCTAACTGAAACTACTCTAACCTATCTTTTCACTTCCTTCTCATCTGAAGACGTTCAACGAACTTTTTAACTCTCAGAGGACTGAAGCAGACATCCTGAGCATCGTGTCCAAAGCAGAGGAGTTTGATCAGCTGAAGGTAGGAGGATCTGGACCCGACCCGTCCTTGTTGAGCCCAGTTCAGCCCTCGGCCTCACCGGCCCAGTGTCTGTTCTCAGGTCCGCGATGAAGAGATGGAGGAGCTGGACATGATGCTGTCGAGCTACTGCCACCTCGCAGCAGCAGGGGGGGCGGAGAACAGCTACGGCAAAGTCAACATCCTGCTGCAGACCTACATCAGCCGGGGAGAGGTGGACAGCTTCTCGCTCATCTCTGACCTCTCCTACGTGGCTCAGGTGAGGAGGGACGGATCGTCACCGCGTCGGCAAAGATGAAACGTTTTAGAGAAACAGAAAATAAAGACAAACTATGAGATCTAAAACAAATGTTTAAAACTTCGGGGGTTCAATTTTAGGGGCTGTGAAATGATTGACAACCAAGCCTCAGTTTCCAGAATATTCCTTAGTTTCTTCAGGCCTGATTAAACAGAGAAACCTGTAAAACAATCTGTATCAACCTGCCGGCATGATGGAAGGTTCATTTTTAGGGACTCATGGATCGGTCTGCTTCTGATTTCCTTCATCCTGCAGATCAGTGATCAACCGACCTCTGAAAAGGTCCACAAATCAGCCGCTGTCAACAATCTAAACATTCTATACATTATTGACAGCAACATGAAATATGGAGCTGTGATCAACTGATGACGAATTCAGGTTTAGTCAGAATGGGAACCAGCATGTCAGGGCGACTCTTTATCATTGATTGATCGACTTTATTGATCTCGGAGTGGAGAAATTTACTCGTTGCATCAGCTCAATAGTCAAAGAAGA